AGTAAGGGTGGAACTTGCTTAAACTCACACAAGGAGCCAAGACCAGAAGCCCAGCGCCTAAGCACTCCAAAACAACACCTAAGCGCTGATTTTCTATTTGGACAGCGCCTAAGCGCTCCAAAACAGTGCCTAAGTGCTCAAAACAACGGCCCAACGCTGATTTTTTGCTTGGCAACTCCCCTGCTGCCCCAAATCACTCCTAAAATAAATTTTTAGCATTATATTCGGCCTGGACAGCACCCAAAGCAGATTTTCTGCATTATTAAACACCCTTCAGCTCTACCTTCAGGGACAAGGGTCTTCCAACAACTACTCCTACTCTTCCAAAATTTCAAACTTCTAAAAATCTATTCACCCCAACTCATCTTCACCCATAATTCCATTGAATCATCGTGAATTTTTCGATCCCCTTCACTCAACAATCTTGCAACTCAAGTGGCATCAATGAGTATCAACTAGCACAAAGTGGTGTCACGACCCTGGAATTCATCTAATCTGTGAAAGTTTTATTTTTGAAGTACTTTCACAAATACGAACTCCAAAGTGCCTTCGAAAAGTAGGGGTGCCCCTTATAGGACGTCTCTTTTGAAAAGAGGTATCTTTTTGAGAATATTCTTCTATGTACTCCTTAAAAGGATTTTTTGAGTTTTTAAATAAAGATTTGGTGCAAATTTGTTAAACCCAACCTATTGCCAAGGTAGGGAGGCAAAAATCTTGATAGAAGTAGAAACTTAAATCAGGCGTAGCCACTTGATCAAATCCAGACCCAAGGTTAGACATAACAATGTAAACCGATTAAGTAGTTATCTGAGCCCGATTAGATCGACAGGTCAGTACATATATGGAAACAGACTCTTCAAGACCTAAGGTGACCGAGTCTTAGTTTCCAAGTAATGTCAAGATAAACTCTTCGAGGAAAGGCCAAATAGGGGCCATAACATCTTAAGAGTCAAATTTATTCCAAGTGTCAAAAGGTCCCTATCTTTGGATTGACATCTTCGAAGAAAGGCCGAACAGGGTCTATAACTTCTTAAGAGCAAAATTTCTTCTACGTATTGAAAGCTCCCTATCTTTGGACCGAGCTCTTCGAAGAAAAGCCAAACAGAGGCCATAACTTCTTAAGACCAAAATATATTATAAGTATCGAAAGGTCCCTATCTTGGGACCGAGCTCTTCAAAGAGAGGTTGAATAGGGGCCATAACTTCTTAAGATCAAAATTTACTCTAAGTATAGAAAGGTCCCTAGCTTGGGACCGAACTCTTTAAAGAAAGGCTGAGCAAGGTCCATAACTTCTTAGAGCAAAATTCATTCTGAATAATGAAGGGTCCCTTGCTTAGGGCTTGGAATCGAATACTTCAGAATGAATTTTACTCTGCTCACTGATAATAATAATAAGAGACTTGTTGAAAGGGTCTTCATTATATATATCCAAAAAAGGAAAGAGAGTTACAACCTTTCTAAAAAAAAGTGACGAATTCAAGATATTTTTTCAGAACACTTGTTTTCAAGAAGGGGGTGGTTTGGATGAGCTTGCAGTAGCGTAATGAGTACAAAGCTCTAAGGACTGGGGCACACCTGCAGCAATCAAGGCGGCAAACTAGCCTTTAGAGAAATACACCTTCTCCAAAGTAGGAATCTAAAAAGCCAAGTCATTTTTTACCTTCACCATTCCTTGTTCAAAGGATTCATCTTCTAGATCCTTAGTTTCAGCCTACCACTCAAATTCTTCCAAAAGATTAAAATGACAAGCTGGGTTTGGGAGAGCTCTACATTGGTTGCACTTTCAAATACTTTCAGATCCTCTACCTCCATTACAAGCTTCTTATTCTCTTCAGTTAGGCTTAGCATTTGAGCCTGAAGAACCAACATCTCCTCTTAAAGCTTTGCATATTCATCATCAACAAATTCCTTCTTCACCAAGGCAGACATGCGTTCATGAATAGCCTCTTTCATGGCCTTATCCTTCTTGGCAATCTTTGCCCCAACTTCATGAACCTTCTAAAGTCTCTACAGACCACAAAGAAAGGCGTGTAAAAGATATTTCTAAAAAAAAAAAATTGACTTTCCAAAGGGAAAGTAGGAAAATACCAGAACCATCTGCTAGATAGCCTGTCGAGTGATTTCATCATTAGACAACTCCTCATTTGCAGCTAAGTCATGAGTAAAAATCACCCTTCTAGCGATGCCCGCTACCACATTGAAGTCCTCAGTAGTAGAATCTTGGACAGTGATTTCCCTCCTTTTAGCCCTCAAAACCGGTTGAAAAAGGGAGATCACAGGCTCTGAAGGAAGAAAAGCATCAAATACTGGCACCTTGCACTTCTTGGTGGCAAGATCATCAAATAGCACAAGAATGGATTTTGGAAGATCAGAAGAGGAAGGAATAGGCTCTGAAAGGACAGAAGGGAGATTAGAATGAATAGAGGGCGCAAGGATGGCACCCATTGAGGCCCTAGTTGAATCATCTATGGGTTCCTCCAAGTGAACTGCATGCTCCACCTAGGTGGGGTTTACCGAAGTAAGTTCTTTAGGTTCGACAGAATTTTGCATGGGAACAAAAGATGTTTCAGTTGAAGAAAGAAAGTCGAGAAAATTCCTCACTACCCTGTTTCTCCTAGAGGGGCCGATTGCGACTTTCTTGCAACAGCGAGGTGTTTGATCCCGAGTAGTCTGGATAGCTTGACGATTGTCGACAAGAGTAGTGTTGGGACGGGGAGGAAAAGCAATAAAAGACATAAATTGGAGTGTACCCGAGAAGGGTATGTGCTGCTCGGTACAAGAGTGATTCATTAAAGTTCCACACCTTCTTTAGTTCCTCCATCTTTATTGATCGTTCTGGGATTCCTCCTTTTACAGTTTCACCTACGAAAAAGGAAAAGTAAGTGTAAAAGAGAAGGATCCTAAAAAGAAAAAAGAAATGAGCATATTGTCAGTTACCTGGTGCGCCTTCTTTGTAGGGGCATCAATAAGAAATGAGTCTCACCAATAGCATACTCCCAATTGCCAGAAACAAAGAAAATGTCATTCTCATGACCTTTGTTCGAATCTGGGAGGTGGGTCAATAGGCAACGATCCTTCTTCTTTACTGCAAGGTAATAATTGTCTCCAACTAGCTTGATGATATAGTAGAATAGGATCTCCCAAAGGTCCAAGCTCAAGTCCAGCAACTTGTTGAGGCCAGCTACGCCCATTACAATTCTGAAAAAGTTTGGATAGCATTGGATGGGGCACAACTTTAGTGCTAAACGTGCCCATAGAAGAATGGGATGAAGAAGGAAGCGAACCCCACCTTCAAGAGGATGCTCTCTCTAGTGCCAATCAGGGGCTCATTAGTCCCAACAACACAAATGTCAACATCACCAGGAATTTGGTACTTGGTTCTAAAGCAAGAATCTCTGAAGAAGTAAGAGGAGCCATTTCAAAGAAGATAAAAATCAGGAGAGTAGAGGAAAAAGCTAGAGGAAGAAGGGCAGGTGAAGAAGAAAGGAAGACTTGCACCCCTTTTTAAAAGCATAAACTTGAAAAAACAACTGAAGCCCAAAGGACAAACATGAAGTGATAACTGAAGTGCATGTCTCAGGGATGCATGTAATGATAAATTGGGAGCATGAAACGACTGCCAGATGAAAATTCGCCTAACACATGTTTCTTGGGGGCGAATGAAGAGGCACCACGTGCAAGGAGCATTTAATATGCTCACGTGAGGATGATGTGACAGATCACGTGAAGAAACAACAAAGTAGCAACCAAGTCAAGCAATGGGTTCTCATTTCATGATGCAAGGTTGAACTGTTTAGGTGTTCAGTAAAAAGAGAAAGAGCTCGATTTCAACGAAGCCGAGCTCCACATGTAAGTATCCCTGAACTAAAGGGATGACTATAATTTAGGCATTCTTGTATAACAAATAAGCATAATCAATGGCTCAGGGAGAGCCAGTCAACTGGGGGAGCATCTGGAGATATTTCAGCGAATCCCTAACAAATATCCCAGATTGATCAGAGGTGTGCCACCTTGCATCATCAATCAAGGAAACCCTAATGAAGAAAGAAACTCTAAAAGGAGTCGAGTATGTGCAGAAAAAGGTACGCTCAATTCTCCCAACACACATGCTTTCTACATACAATTACTAACTTAAGCATCAGAGTGTCTTCGATCGAAGCACTTCAGTTCTAGATAGTTTGTTCGTTTTGCAAGAAGAAGAAGACAGGGTACAGGACCCAAACTCGACAATCCTTCTGAGAGGTAAATTCATTTTCGCCTCTTACAAGATTTTTGATAAAAACACATCAAACTGCACTAATTTGTTTCATCACATTTCAAAAGTGCACTCGTTCAACTATTGTATCAACAATCTAACAACTAAAACTACATATAATTGTCACTTCTTAGCTAATTCTTTGATTTCCATAAAATAAGAATCATTCTTATCCATCTTAGTATCAAGTTTCTTGAGAGACTCCTTCATGTCATCTTGATACTGTTGTAACTGCTCCTGCTTTGACAAAATTTGTTTAAGCATTTGTCCAACCATATTAATATCCAATAGAGATATAGTACCTAATGCAAAAATACTTGGGCCATGAGAAATCTATCTTGGCTTCAACTTGTGACTGGGGCTAGGGCTGCTGAATTGCATTCTTCTTGGCTTAACCCAAACTCTTTTTTAATATCCTACCATCAAACGGATTCATAGGAAACTCATAAGTGTCGCTTGAGTGAATCACAACTCCATAATCTTTCATAATCTTTAAAATTAAAATTGGGAATGGAAGATTTCACCGCCTATTGTTGATATTATGTGCCATAATAATATCTCCAATTATTAAACGTGGGAGATCTATACGTACACCCTTTTCAATGGCATAAAGGAAATAAGCTCCATCAATTCCAAATTCTGCACAATATCCTCTCGAATTGATATCGCAAGCCATTATACGTTTTAAAATCCTATAAGTCGAAGTAAGGTTTTTCTGGTAACCGTATTCTCAGCAATGAAGGGTTAGATAACATTCAATATTGTTGCAATTAACTTCGGGGTCACCTCAAACTCTATATTCCTAACAAAAAACATAAACTTGTGATCATCTTTCTCAATTGCATAAAATATCTTCACTAATGTATCATATGCTTTATCCTCCTTCTTGATATCAACTCTAGAATTCCATTGATAAAGAGCAAGAATGATAGGACATTCAACTTTTGTTAATTCATCCAGTAAAGCACCATGCTCCTATAACAAAAGCCCATGAGAAAAGAGCCTATCATACCACTCTTTTCAATTTATGTTGGATTGGATGAACATACAAAATTTGGAAGATTTGAGGAGGGATCAACTGTATTTACTGGATTAGAGGTAACAACTACATATTTCTTCTTCCTTTACGAATTTTTGCTACTATTATCCACAGATAGCCTATACTTCTTATGCACTCCTTTTAAACTTTCCCCCCTCTGCCTTCCTTTTCCCACGTGTGCCTCCTAACATTAACATTGTCAAGATATTATCTATGAGCTGAAGCTCTTTAACACAACAGATGTTATCGCACGAGTGTGGTAGATGGCTAGGTTTCAAGCTGTGCAAGTGCTTCTAGTTGCAACAAGAAAAAAATCTAGTCAAAAAGAGAGCAATAACTATGTTTATGTACATGTATACTATTGAAGGAGATGTGAGGAACATAGAATGACAGATTATCTATTACTTTTGAAGATGACTTGTCATCCCAAAAATTAGAAGAAAGAAATTGGAAGATAATCTATTTCTTTCTTCCTAATAATTTGGAAGAAATATAAATTACACAATTCTCATAACTAACATGTTATTGCAATTTCCCCCAGTTTGCATCTACATATGTTATAATACTCTTCTCTTGCTCTGAACCCACTATCATAACTCATATATAGAGCAAATAATTGAAACAATCGACTATATATCAACAATTATTCAATTGTTTAATCCACATCCATATATGCAACCCTAATCACAAAAACTCTGATTCAATTTTTCAATCATTCAACCCCAAAAACACATCCCTTATGCAACTACACAAAAATAGGATGAAATCTAGGGAGAGAGAGAAGGGATACCTAAGAGAAGAGGAAGGCGTTGACAGTGGCGATGGCATAATGTCGCTTGCACTGGTGAGAGAGAGAGGGAGATTCAATATGGAAGCCAAATTTTGGGTTCTTCGTCAGGGTTTAGGTTTATGTATGGAAAATTTGGGGGTCATTGAAGTCAATTTGGGGTTCTTCCTTAAGGTTTGACAATGAATCAGATAGATTGAATTAATTTGGGTGATTGAGGATTGTGGGTTGGCCAGGTAAAGGTTTGGAATATGACTTAAATACGATACAAATCCAACATGACACAACATAGTAAAGCTCTACTTTCTTGCCCCTATTCCTTTAGCTATATGTTAGCATTGGATTGATAACAAGTGGGAACCATTTACCATCATGTTTATTAATTAAGAAATAATTTGGACATCAAACTTGGGATTGTTGAGGGGATTGGAATTCAAGATGAATTATTTTTAACTTTATGTTGGGAGTGCACGATCGTAATAGTTTTTGATGAGGTAATTTCATAGATAATTTTGTAAAGAATAGTTTTCATTAATTGTTTTAAAAGAAAAATACTTATGAAGGAGTTTCAAATAACATAGGAGATGTCATTAAAAATAGGATGCTATACAAAAAAAAAAAAGTGGATAAGATTTTACATCATCTATTTGTTGCTAGGATGGATCCTCTCTCCAATCCTATGGAAATGTGTTTATAAGGTTCATCAAAAGATTAACGGTCCATCCCGTTTCATCTGACTAGATAGATAATATTAGAATAAATCTCACATGGATCCCCGGAATTTATTCTTATTATACGGATATCTTCTCACATTTCAAAAATGAAACTAAGACCCAATTCAATGGACAACATTAACCATTATAACATAAAGACAACTGCTCCTTCAGTTAATGATAAAAGTTAAATCAAACAATTGCGATCGAAATCTAGACCAAGATCTCGAACCTGACCCGAATCCGAACCTGGACCGACAAATTAAGCCCTCTCCTTGTTACCCCACCTGCAGCGCAACCCACCCCCACCCCTTTTTTTCTCTCTCCACGCCCATTACCACACTCCATCATCCCCACCGCCACCCTCCTGCCTTCCCCCCCCCCCCCCCCCGGCACAGACCCACATTGCTGCCCCCACAGCTCCAACACCGCACCCCAGATGGTCCAACATGTCACAAGAAACTCTTTCAGAGATGAAAACAAGGTCACATATATTTCCAGGAAAGTTCCCAACAAGAAGTAGCACTAATGAACAAGTGGTATCAGAACACTAGAGCACATGTTGCTGAAATTCTGGCCCCATAACTCATGTGATTGTCCACTTCACACAACTCAATCCCCACAAAAATTTATACAACATTTACAAAAGATAACATTTTATTTTCTTTATATGCAGAATTTCCCGACCTTAAAACAAATATGTGGACAAAGAAATGTGATAAAAATAAAAATATAAAAATGAGAGAAAACAACTTATATCAGACATGCAACAGCATTACCTGGTTTAGGTAATACATAGACAAGCCATATGGTGAACAAATAATGCAAATATATAACTACTGTAGAGGTATCTCTGGTAGTTCTAAACCTTACCACCCAAACAAAGCTCTAATAATGCCAAGTATATCACCGTTCAAAAGAGCCTTGAGAAATCTTAGCTTCGCAGGTGTGTATGGAGGGTATCTGGCCGGTGCATCACCAGCAAAACTACGGTACAAAACTGCCTTCTTATGGCTGAAAGCATCAAAAGAGAATTTACCATGGTATGCACCCATTCCACTTTCCCCAACTCCACCAAATGGTAAAGTAGAAACTGCAACCTGCACAATCAAGTTGATGGTTCCAATCCAGGTCAATCAATTCACAATTGAGCAGATACATATTCATGGGTCTATACGTGTATAGCTCAGTAAGTGAAAACGTATCCATGTTTTAATAGGTTTGCAGTACACGCATATCACTTCAATAAACAAATAAATCAAGCATAGATATAGCAATATCACAAAGTCAGATATGTTGAGCGATAACTACTGTTTACATTGAAATGTCAAGAAAATCTAGTTTTAGCCTTGACCCTAGTTAGCACTTGTTACAAGCCAATCAATATCACAATTCATGTGATTTCGAATAATAGATCTAGAGTCATTTCTTTATCATCTTATTCTACCCATATAGATATTCTGAAATATGGTTATAACTATTGCAGATTCTAAATATCTCCCAATTGATTTGTCAAATACACATACAAAACGTTATAGGTGTTTTTTCTTTCTAAAGGGTGCCACATCGGCCTTGGTGCCGATTCATTCAACATTGCCATAAATATTATCCAACAAAATTCAGCCAAAATCTTTCCTCAAATGGGTTTTCTATTTTTCGTGATAATCTTCAGAAAATTTTCTTGAATAAAACACCATCTAGAAATTTATTGACCAAGTCAACCCAGGTCAAACAGCAGAACTGAGGTGTTGTTTTAAAGGTGACTACAACATCTCACACAAGTTTATATGCATGAAATCATGTTTGCATGTGTGTTTATATAGAAAACTTTCGATTATGCACAAGGAAGAATACTTACATGTAGAGAAGTATCATTGACAGCCAACCCCCCTGCAGAAACAGTCTTTACAAACTCCTCCTTGAGCTTCTTTTTGTTGGAAAATAAGTATGCTGCAAGTGGCTTATCTCTGGAGTTAATCATCCCAAAACTAGCTTCCACTTTGTCAACCTATTCAACCAACAAAAAGATAATATCATGATTGATAACCGTGCCTCAAGCTTGCTGCTTCAAAATACAACAAAAGAAGAAAAACCATTCTAATGATTGAATTTTTCTCTGTCCCGCTTGTTTCTGCAGAGTCACATTCCCAGGCAAAATTTCCTGGCTCATGTAACTAACACTTAATTAAGCATATATTATCGGTTGCTTTCCAAAACACTGTCTTTATTTCTATTGCTAGTTCTAATTCTTCACAAAAGATCGAGTTATCATTTTCTATGAGGGTTAAATCACACAAACATCAGCTTACTCATGCTCATCTTTATCAACCACTCATAATTTCTTATAAGAAACAAAGGAACCTCAAAAGGAAAACTCTGCAAAGGGCTGTCTAGATTTTTACCGTGAGAATAGGAAGTAAAGGACCAAATATCTCCTCATTCATGATCAGGGAGTCTTCTGGGACATCCAGTAAAATAGTGGGAGCAATTTTTCTGCATCAAGGGAAAGAAGCATGAACAATATGAATAGATTTTCCAATTTAGCTTAACTTAATTATGAAATAAGCAACAAAGCCAAAAAAATTATATGCAGCAAAACTCACAGGATGCCTTCGTCCATCTGACCTCCATGAACTATTTTACCAGAAACCTTATCATCATCCAATAGCTTTTTTAAGCGAGCAAAGTGGTTGGAATTCACGATGCGAGACAAATCTTCGGAATTCAGAGGATCCATCCCATAGAATTTCTCCAACTCCAGTTTCAGAGCATCTACCTGGAGTAGAAGCGGCATTAGAAGAAGACAAGATCAACATATTAGTATCTGCAGTGTTGATGATATATAGCTCTTCAGAATGGGCAACAGTACCAATTTTGGAACATAATCTTTGGTTGTTATGATGTAATCAGGAGCAATGCAGGCTTGTCCGTTGTTGCATCCCCACTTGCCTACAATAATTCGCCTTGCTGCGACCTTTAAAACAAAGGCAAAGCAGTGTAAGATAACAAGATGGCAGTAATAGCACCATAAACAAGTAAAATGGAATTCGCACAACCTAGGATGTGCAAGAGAGACGAAATCTGTACCATTAGGTTGACATCTGAATCGACAACAACAGGAGATTTTCCTCCAAGCTCCAAAACTAGAGGTGTAAGGTGCTTTGCAGCAGCAGCCGCTACAATTCGTCCCACTCTTCCATTTCCTGCAATTTTATATTTTTTTTATCATAGACGATACATAGGTATCAGGTATGAAAAGCCAAACTGTGTCCAGTCAAAGTCTGCTTAATCTCGTAGTTATATCAGGTACAAAAGCTTACATTTTTTTTTCCAACAGGCAAAAGCTTAAAATTTTATTTTTTCTTTGAACAGGCAAAAGCTACTTTAAGTAGATAGTTATGTCAGCTGAAAAGATTTCTTCAATTTAATGAATGATAATAAGAATCAGAAGACAACTGTGTAGGAAGCCTGCTTTTCATGTTCTTTTTTTCAAAATACAGTGTTTTGACATGGGGTTGCTGCTGCAGAAAGGACTTATTCCCTACCTGAACCTTAGTTGTACACCACCAAAAATATCCATGACAATATAGGCACTATGCAATACTATCTACTAAAGAAAAACAAAAGTACAAAAGCAACCATGGCATCGATCAATGCACCAAATGATGGTCTAGCCACTCATATCCTCCTAAGTTGTACTGCAACCAATTGGAATCAAACCATGCGTACACAAATCAATATTACCCAATAAAAAAAGGAAAAAACCCTTATGCACCTCATCACATTGCTCACTAATATGTGACAAGAAGACTCCTCAAACATTTCCAGTGCCACCTCTCTCCAAATCCCCTTAACTCTCAACCTCTTATCTTAATCTCGGAAGAATCAAAGAGTTTGTACCAAAATATAGTCACGAGGCTATCAACAAATTTAGGACTCCCGTGATTGTCCTGGTCCTCTTAGCAATGGTATGCACCACCTAATCCCTTGCTGCAATAGTGTGGAAATCCAAAAAGACATTCAAGGAGGAGCATTCTCGCACTATATATTCCAAAATGACACCACATCCCATCTTTCCATTCCCTGCTAGAAAAAACAACCCTTTTAGGATCCTCTGTAAAAACCCTCTTAATTGACTACCCACTACTTAAGAGACCAACCACAACTTGGACAAATTTCAGCCACCAGCAAGCACACCAGCCATTTCCTTGAAATGGTCAATTCTACATCACCTCACTACTGTCCTAATGCATTTTTCTCCTATTCCCGGGCCACCTTTGATAAGAACTAACCTCAGTCAACACAATAATATTGTCATTGGTCTTCCATGCACAAATCTTGATTCGTGCTCCTCCCCTTTCTTGGGTGATAAATGCTTTTTAAATGTGTGTGCAGTGGAAAATATGCTAAACAGTATTGAAATAATACCTAGAGTTTGACCAAAAATTTTTTAAGTGTTGCAAACTTGAGCAGCCAAATTTAGTCCTTCCTTTGCTTAATAGCAGTAAATATGTTGTACGCATTATGACTAACGGAAAGATAACAAATAAGAATCAGCACCAAGTTCAATTAACATAACATCTTTCCAGGATTTATATAATCTAATGTTCATGATGTAACGTAAGCTAAATGAAATAGCAATTGGAAAAAACCTGTGTAAAATATTTTATCCCACTTTTGCTCCAATAGTACAGATGTTTCAGGTACAGCGCCCTCAACAACTTTTACTGCAGAGCTGTCCATATATTCCCCTAAAAATTTTGCAAGAAGTGACGATGTAGCTGGGGCAACTTCTGACGGTTTCAAAACCACAGCATTACCAGCTGTAATAGCTCCAATTACTGGTTCAAGAGATAACACTGGAGACAGATGACAACAAAAAACAAGTTGTTAGTCTTGGCACTAGTTCAATACATGGCTAACGGAGACCATGTAGGCAACAAGGACAAGGCGTGTAATTTTTTGATTCTTCTCCCAGCCGAAACTCATAAGTATGAATGTGGTTACCATTTTATACAGTTGAAAGGAGTGTCAAAGTTAACAAAAATTCAGTAAAACTGCAAGTTGCAACTTGCAACCATAACTTGCTTGGCTATAGCCTGGAGAATTTTGTCCCTAGTCAGCTATTTGTGTATTAAATTAGGACAGGAAGTATATAATGTATTTTTATACTAAATGACACGAAAGATATAACAAACAAAGTTTTGAACGTACAGAAAGGATAGTTCCATGCTGATATGACCAATACGACACCCAATGGTTCTGAAACTATTTCTGCTGATGATGGAAAAGTAGTAATTGGGGTTTTAACCTGCAAATATCAAAAGATTTGAATTATATAGTGCTTGACCAAATGACTGTCAAAAGAACATGCACGTAACAATCCAATTTAAAATCGAGCTTTCGGCAGAAATTACTTTTTGTGGTGTCATCCAATGCTTCAGTTCCTGTAGTGCCAACTTACATGAGGACTTCATTAAAGCAATCTGCATGATAAAATATATAAATCATATCCCAAGGAATCACGCTTACTGAAACGAATTGTGGAACATAACAGATTATGTAACTTGTACAAGTTCCATACAAAGGAAGATCCACAAAACGGAAATTATTGCACCATAACCTTGGGAAAATAAATCAATAGTCAAATACATAGGTGGCTTTTTTTTATGTCCAGTATATACCATGTAATGTAGCCAATAACCGAGTCTGTTCTGTACCAAGCTAATGTACAGAGGACTTAACAATCCTTTAGAAATGCTTGTGCTCAAGTCAAACTCACATTAACAGTTCAATTATGTGTGGTGAAGTGTAAAAGGCAGAGAGATCCAACGAGAAGGAACTTGACAAAAATCTAACCAGTATTAAATCTATAAATATCAAGGCAAAATGCCAAATAAATCACTCAAATTCGCCATGGAAGAAAGAACGATTGTTTAGTCTCAACAACTAGAACATAATCCCACAGAGAATATAAGGAATTTAGATGTTCCATTTGACACAGAGGGGAAGCCAACCTAGGGAGGTGACACAGACCTCTCAACGCGGTGGGAGGACTGAAAGAAATCAGCAACATACGCGAAGTTGAAATCTACTCTATCAATGAAAAATGAAGAATAACCAAAGTGAAATGTTAGAATATCTGAAATCCATAATGCCTTCAAAGTTCAAACATATAGCAGCAAAATCATATTATGATCACTGAAAAAATTTCTAAGCATTCTTCAGATCACCTATTCAAAGGAACCCCAAATAAACAGTAGGCCATTAAAATTTCACACAATACTGTGGCATAAAAAGTGGACAGATAAAATTACCATACAACTTTTTTCTGACAAAGCTAATATGATAACAAGTTCCTTTCTAAACAAAACATGCATGCATATGCAACTTCCAAATTGTTGATTAATACATTCAAATTAATCCCTTTCTCTTAGACAAGGCAAAGTTGAGTAGTTGACTAGAGCATGCCCCGGTACCTCCTAATTATTGTCCAACTTCCAAAGTATCCCAAAGCTAAAACACAGAATTCAAACTGTGGGAACTTTTTCATTAATTGAAAGGACCCGATGGTGCATAATGTTCATATTGTTCTCCATTAATTGAAGGTGCTGTGATGGGTGGATGGGTACAGATAAAAATTTGGTGTTATATGCACAATGTGGTTATCCTCAAATCTGATCTTGAAGCCCAAGCATGTCTGACAAAAAGCATGTGTGATCAAAAAGGAGTTAACAAAGTTTTAGCACAGAGGCATTAATTTGGAGAACCTAGTACCAAAACTTTGGCTTCAAGCCATTTGTGGTTACCAATTTGAAAAAGTCAAACAGGCTAGCCAATTGTTTTTATGGAAAGCTAAGCAATTAATGCTCCACCAGCAACCTATACGAACAAATTCCTCATGTATAACAGAAAGGAGCTCTGTAATACACAGATCCAGTTCCTTGCCCATAACCTGTTAGTCCTGACATACTCCAGCTTTTGAAGCACA